CAAAGAAAAAAACATTTTTTTTTTCAACGTTTATTTATTTTTGGGACAGAGAGAGACAGAGCATGAACGGGGGAGGGGCAGAGAGAGAGGGAGACACAGAATCGGAAACAGGCTCCAGGCTCTGAGCCATCAGCCCAGAGCCCGACGCGGGGCTCGAACTCCCGGACCGCGAGATCGTGACTTGGTTGAAGTCGGACACTCAACCGACTGCGCCACCCAGGCGCCCCGATAAAAAGAACATTTTAAGCAAAAACTGAAGCAAAGAAAATGAACACATAAAGGAACCAGCAAAAGAATGAAACCTGAATGAAGTTACATTCAGTGTCCCTTAGAACTGAAACTACGAAGGATTCTATAGTCCATACACTAAGCTTGTTGGAGTGATTTATGTTGGTCTTCTGGTGCCTGTGCTTGGAGGGTGCAGATGGGTGGAGCTTGATGTAATTGCTCCATTCTCCACTAGGTGGCTCTGCTTAGCCTACTGGGGTGGATCCATGTGCCTGTGTGCTGTGTGTGCACAGGGGAGGTGGAAATGGCTTCACCCAGCTCCCTAGTATCTAGCACAGGAACTTTGAGTTCTCACTGACCCGCGATCAAGCCCCTCCTTTGTCAGCCCTCTGTCTACTCCCTGTCTCTACCCTGTCCATGTTCAAGCTGTCCACTGCCAGGTGGCACCTCCCTCTAGAGTTTTATCTTAGATGGGGTTTTGTTTCAGAATTCCATGCTTCAGAGTCCTCGGTGGCTTGGACCTACGCTGACTCTCTGGGGAGGGTCTTACTGAGTGATGGCCGAGTGCCACCCTACGCCAGAAAAACGTTCATGCAATCGCCGCGGCAGTGATTCAGAGATTATGGCAAATCACAACACCCAGCCAGTGCCAGGTTTCATGGCACTCTGGTGTTTGAGTCCCTATACCAGCATATGTGCTGCTCTCCAGGGTCCATTGGGACCTTTGCCCTAGGGGAGGCCATATGGCCTCTACCAAATACACTCCAAGCAGGGCAACCACTTCTCCCTGTGTAGCACACAGACCCCTCAGACCCTGCAGCCTGCTCTTGGGGATTCGCCCTACTTCCTCACCAGAGCACTGCCAGGCACTGAGCTCGGGAACTTCAGAGTCTGTGCTCCACTGTTTATAGAATCCTGGTGGTATTGAATCCTCTTCTTTCTCCCTGGCAGTGGTTTTGGGGAACAGGTTTCTTGTTCAGTCCCCTGTGAAGGTTTTTACTCTTTCTCCCTTTCTCTCTTTCTCTCCAGCTACTTTGGTGGGGAGTGCTTTTCTTGTACGATCCCGATGCACTGCTTTCTGTGCCTTTCTCTTTCTCTCTCTGCCAAAATAGCTCACCACCCTCCAAGGCTTCTTTGTCTCCCCCGGTTCACCTGCCTGCAGTGCGTATGTGCCAAGTTCTGCGGCTCAAGTTACGAAGATTGTTGCGTTAATCCTCAGATCAATTTCCTAGGTGTTCAAAATGATTTGGTGCTGATGTAGCTGCATTTCAGGGAGGAGACAAGCTCAGGTTTCCATGCTGCTCCGCCATCTTGATTCCTCCCCAGTGCTTCTAGTAATTATTCTGTGAAATAACTTTTTGATGGTTCTCATTAGGATTGATGAAAAGGTACTTTTAAAATCTGTTGATATATTTTTTAAGTATGTACTTGGTGATATAAACTGCCTGCTACCTCTGGATCTTTTAAATAGTTGAGATTTAACCAGGCTTAATTAAAGTAATACTGTGGAAGCCACAAGAATCCACTTTGAAGAAGCCAGCCTTCAAGATGGTGTGGCCTCCTTCTCTTGTGCCTATACCTGCCCTAAGACATACTTACTTGTGTTTCTCCTATGTGGTAGGCAGTAACAGGGATGAATGAGATGAAGAAGAGTCATGATCAGCACCATAACATTTGGCAGTTATGTTGTTCTGAACCTTACTATGACGATTTAAGTGATTTGATAGTTGGTGATCATTGATGTGAGGCATGTTACTAGGAGAAGCCTTAGAAAAATTCACCATCATTGGTATGACCAGGAATCTCTGACTTTTTAGGCCAAGTACTCCTCTGGTTTTTATCTGAAGAGCCTAGGGTGGTGCTGTCCAGTAGAACTATAATGTGAGTCTCATTTGTAATTCGAAGTGTTCTAGCAGCCACATTAAAAAAAGTAGAATCAGGCGAGTTTAATTTTAATAATATATTGCATTCTATCCCAAATATTATTGTTTTAACATATAATAAATGTAAACTTATTAATAAAATATTTTACATTTTTTGTATGAAATCTCAGAAATCCAGTATGTATTTTACGCACGTAGCATGTCTTGATTTGTACTCTCGTCCCATTTCCAGTGCTCAGTACAGGCATGTGGCCAGTGACCACTGATTAGACAGCATAGCCCTAGGTGTTAGGATGTGATAGTTGAAATATTACTTCAACATTACTCAACTTCCTTTCTACTTCAAAGTACCCTGACTCCTTCCTTTAACTTGAGAGAAATAAGTGGCCTTGGGGGCGCTTTCTGCCTGCCTGTTCAGTGTGGCCCTCACTGGAGGGAGAAGAGGTGCCTGCCTGCTCATTGAGACCAGAGGGTCTGACAATTTTGTTAAGTGATGTGGACAGCTGAGCAAATGGGGGGACAATAATTAAGAGAAACACATTATGATGAGCCTCTCAAATGAGAGAAAATGGGCCCATGAAAATGAGAATTTGTTTTCCCTTATTACAGATACAGTCTACTCTGTAGGAATAAAGCTAAGTACAGAAAACACTTGTTAGAGCAGTGGTTCTCAAATGGGTATGATTTTGTCCCCAGGGAATTTGTTAATTTCTGGACATAGTTTTTGATGGTCACAACTGGCGGTGGGTGTGGATGTTACTGACATTAATGTCTTGAGGCCAGGGATGCTTATAACATTCTACAGTGTACAAAACAGTCCCCACTACAGTGAATTAATTACTTGGCCCAAGGGTCTGTAGTGAGGAGCACAGGTAGAAGATTCTCTAGTTCTGTTCTTTTCATTAATTGTTACATAGTTTCTATAGGGAATATAACATGTTTTCTTTTAAATTTGGAGACTCTCCTCATTTTTTCGTGTAAAATTTCTAAGCGTTTCTGATTGAGCACATTGGTCAGCTCAGTAGTTTCTGCTCACAGCCCTGAAGAATGAATGAATGGTTCTTGTGAGACCATTCATCTTGCTCACCTCCCCTTCCCTCTGGTGCAGCCCTCTCCTGCCTCCCCTTCTTCCAGCCTCTCTCTTGTGCATTGCCATTCTACTTTCAGTAAGAACATGTATGTTAAAAAGGAAAGGAGCATTTGCAAGGCTGCCAGAAAGATTAGTACACTTCCATAAGGTCTGTTAGATGTATTTTTGGATGTATTCTGGCAGTGATGTGGGTGTTTGGTTGTGATTATCCCCTTCCAGGGCTCCATCTTGAGCAGTGGTTAACTCAGGATGTGTTCACCACCCTGTTCCTAACGTTTGTCACCCAGGGAGCTGTAACTTTGAGTCTCCATAAATTGTGGCAAATAGCAATCAATACAGGTCGTTTTCAGCTCATAAGCGTTCCTTAGTCACTCTGCCAAAGATACTCAACTTGCCAGTGCTTGCCTTTCAGGTTACCTGTGCGGCACAGTCCCCACCCCTTCCTCGTGACTGCTGGGTTTCTGCTGCCTTCCACCCTACCCCCCTTTGTTGCTTGTGGCACTTTGAGTTTTGGTGGCAAACCACATAAGTGACCTTTAGCCAATTTAGGCTAAGAGCAATACAGTAAATTCTCTTTGGGGGCTGTCAGATTGGGAAGAATTTAGAGGTCTGGCTTAGAGAGGGGCCGGGGTCATGTGGCACTGCTGGCCCTGCCTCTACTAGCAACTGCAGATGAGCTTGCTGCCCGTGACAGCCGGCCTGAAGGTTCCAGGCCTGTAGAGTCAGCTTCAGCCGTCTGTGCCCTGAGCGGTACGACAGTGAAGAAAGCGGATCAGAACCAGCCTTCCCTTGTGTAGGGAGGAGCAGTCTCAAAAGGTGCTTTTCGAAGGGGGGCACGACTACTGGCAGTCCAAAAAGAAGAGCAGTTGTGCACACATCAGTGCTTATGGGGTTCCCCTTGCTCCCCAGACTAGAGACCCCCTCCTTACCCTGTGAACCTCTCTGTCAGCCCGATTTCCCTTGCCTGTTCGTGCACTCTGTGTGCTGGCTCAGGAAGAGTTTCTCCTCGAGATTCTCTAGATACCTGAAAGAAGGCTCTCATCTGTAATCTCTCAAGCTTAGAAACATTTTTTTTTGTATTGTGGGTTTTCTTATCTTTTATAAAAGAGCAGACTAACCATTATTTAGCCTTTTTGTGACATTTGGAAATTAGCATTTTGCAAACCTTGGAAACCTTGCATTAATGTATGTGCTGCTTTTGTATTTGACTGACAGTGGGTGTTTTCATTGTTTAATTTCCAGTTTGGGGTAGTATTCTTGATAAGCAAGGGAGATAGATGGCTGAATTCCTTAATGAAAATAACTGTACATCAGTTAATAGCATGTATTAGCTTTTACGAGTTATCCCGGAAACCTAACCACATTGTACTGTTTCTATGGGAAAAGGAATTCTGATTTTAAACAATGGAAAATAAGTCCTTTTATAAGCTCAGAGCTGCTTTCATCTGTCTTTTTATAATCTCTGTGGGATGTGTTCTAACTTAATAAGGCTATATAGCATGGGTGGGGGGGGTTCTCTTTCTGTTTTGCCCTTTATTTCATAATATTGTCAGGACTTAGAAAATTTTGAAGCTCTGAGTGAAAATGTGCCTGCAAAGTGTGATTTTTTTTTTTTCCCCTCTGGACGTGTATGTTGAAACCTTACTTGAATTTAGCTAAAATGGACGCGGTGCATTAACCAGCATTTCTAGCTAGTGTGTGACAGGTTTATTTTTTTCTTGTGTTAAGAAACTCTCATGTGTGTCCATAATGCAAGATTGGCTTCTGAGTAAATAGGAATTCTCCTTCTCCCGTTTCAGGCCGGAGCCTCAGCAGAAAGCTCCCTTAGTTCCGCCACCGCCGCCTCCACCACCGCCACCGCCTCTGCCAGACCCCACGCCCCCGGAGCCAGAGGAGGAGATCCTGGGATCAGATGATGAAGAGCAGGAGGACCCCGCCGACTACTGCAAAGGTGATCATGCCTGCTTGTCACTGATGCAGACAGTGTGGTCTATGTTAAATTCACCTCTTGGTGTCAACACCTTTTTTTTTTTTTTTTTTAATGTTTATTTATTTGAGAGAGGGAGAGCGTGAGTGGGGGAGGGGCAGAGAGAGAATTCCAAGCAGGCTCCGTGCTGTCAGTGTGGAGCCCGACCTGGGGCTCAGTCACACGAACTGTGAGATCGTGACCTGGTCCAAAGCCAAGAGTTAGATAGTAACCAACCCAGGCGCCCCTCATTTTTAATTTCTAGATCATTAAGTATAGAGTGGTACCAGAAAAGGTAAGAGATAGCAGAAGGAAAACTGTAAGAGATAGACAGTATATACATATGTACATACATACTTTCAAGAGGATTTTAATCTAATGGAATTAAAGATACTGTAAGTAGGACAGTTAAGGATAAAAACAGCAGCAGCTATCTAAGAAGAGCATAGACTAGAAGGTACCAGGCTCCTGAGGGGAGCCAGTGTAACGGTTGTGCAAGGCAATTGACTTTAAGTTTTCAGACTAAGAGTAACAAGGAACCAGTCCTTTTCTCTGTATAACATTGAATTACATAGTATTCATTGTCTGTGGAAAGAAAGCCTGCTCATTTGTTTACAGAGACAGACTTTTTCCTGGCATTGTACTCAGTGAAAAAGACATTCTGTGGGCTTTGCCATTGTGTGACACAGTGGATTGTGTTTTTAGCTGTGATTTCACAGAAGACATAGAAATTACTCAGGTGAAGTGTTCTTGTATTGCTTTGTAAAGATCAAGAGCATATAGTTAAACTCCTAAAAGGCAAGCATGTTGTGTGATGAATATTGAGGACAGTGTGATCCAGACTGTATGCTTTGTGTAGACTGGACTCTGAGAATGTAGGAGAAAGGGAGGTTGATGTGTCCATTTGACCACCTCTTTGTTACTTAATGTACTCATTTGGACTTTCATATTCTCTCTCTCTCTTTTTTGGACTTTCATTCTCTTTAGTAGATTATCACAGTCTGGAATTCTGAGCTTCTGAACAATTGATGAGACACTGACTTGCTACTCATTAAGTTCAATGTAATCAGATTCCCTTTTTTTTTTTTTTAAGAATTTTATTTTTATTAGTTATTTTTAAAGATTTTTTTTTAAATTTTTTTACATTGATTTATTTTTGAGAAACAGTGAGACAAAGCGTGAGCAGGGGAGGGGCAGAGAGAGGAGGAGACACAGAATCTGAAGCAGGCTCCAGGCTCTAAGCAAGCAGTTAGCACAGAGCCTGATGCGGGGCTCGAACTCACAAACTGTGAGGTCATGACCTGAGCCGAAGTCGGACGCTCAACCGACTGAGCCACCCAGGCGCCCGTTTATTAGTTCTTTTGAGAGACAGACAGGGAGACAGAATCCCAAGCAGGGCTTGGGATTGATGCCGGGCTCAAACCCACAAACCGTGAGATCATGACCTGAGCTGATATCCAAGAGTCAGACACTCAACTGATTGTGCCACTGAGGCACCCAAAGTAGATCACATTCTATACAGAAAAGTAATAGAAGGCAGGAGATGGATACCTGGTCAGGCCATAGAGCATTAATGAATCCCTGACTCCATGGTGTCTTGTATGAATTTAGCTAGTGATTGCAGGCCGTCTGGGTGTTGGTTATGGAGTACCATTAGAAACTTTTTAAGTCTCCATTAAGAGGAAGAGAAAATTATGTTCTGTTGTAAAAGTTTAAGAACTCATCTACTCTAACCATAGAGTGGGTTTCCACACCATAGGTGTGGGTTTCTACACATGGAATCAATGTTTTCCTTAGAAAAAAGAATGTAGATCTTTAGCATTTGGAGTAGTGATTATGACCTCAAAGGTCTAAGCCATCCGGTATGGAACATAACAGAGCCTGTGGAAAGGTGAAAAGATAGAGGTTTTACATCCTCCCTCTAAATCTGCATTTCTTGGTTCACAAATGAAGTTGTTTGAAGAGGAGATTTGGACAGTTGTCTTTGATCTCACTGCTTAGGCTGTGTTGTTAGCTTGGTCTGCAGGAACAGTTCTTTTAGCACATGGGCTCTACCATGCGGGAATGGGAGCTCTTGTTCTCACATCTGGCACTTGAGTGTGTGGGTCAGGAGATGTAACCAGTACTCTCTCATTTATCCCTGTACCATCTCTGTAGAGCAGCAGAGGGGACAGACACCTCGACCGAAATACAGGGCTGTGAATGAAGGATTTCACGGTCAGGGCTGATTTTAGGTAACATTTGCTGAACTCGAACCAGTACTAAAGTCAGCCTCACTGAAACATGTGAGAGATGTAAGCTTCTCTGTCTCTCTGTCTCATTCCTGACTCTGGCAAGTAACTTCTGCTTCCAGTCAGCATTACATGTAGTAGACGCCTTGCTCTGTGAATTTTGTGATCTAGATCGGAACATTTTGTCTAAGATAATGGATGCAAATGCATTCAAGGGGTCAGTGGAACTGATTGGGAATGTCTGGGGCAAGAACTGTGCCCCATCCCCCACCCCCCGCCCCGAGCCACAAATAGAGTTCAAGTTTCCAACTTGCTAATTATTCACATCTGAGTTATTTAGTAAATTTTGCCTACAGTCAGGTACATTATTCTTTGTAACTATAATACAACCATCAAAATCAAGAAGTGACCTTTGTGGGGCCCCCTGGGTGGCTCAGTCCGTTGGGCAGCTGACTCTTGGTTTTGGCTCGGGTCATGATCTCACAGTTTGTGGGTTTGAGCCCCACATCGGGCTCTGTGCTGACAGTTCAGAGCCTGGAGCCTGCTTCGGATTCTGTGTGTCCCTCTCTCTCTGTGCCCCTCCCCTGCTCACGCTCTGTCTCTCTAAAAATAAATAAATAAATGAGAAAAAAAAAGACATTAACATTGTTTATAGCTCTACTGTTCATTCCTCAAACTACATTCAGGTTTTGCCAGTTGCCGATATCGTCCTTTATATGAAACCAGTCCTTCCCAGACTCATACTACATTTTGTTTTCTTGGGTTAAAAAACAAAATGCAGCTGATCTAACTGGCCTTATTAAGCAGTTCATGAACCGGGCAGCACCCGCCTGTATCTAGCAAGTGGAGATGCTCCCGGAGTTGTACAGAATGAGAACTTTGAGGGTGAGGCATGGAGTTACGAGCTGAAGAAAAGAAAGGACTGTTTCTTGCCAGAATATCTTCCTTTGGGGCGGGGTGAGGGTAGAGAGCAGCAGGATTTTTATCATGCAGATTACCTCATTTGTGCTTATCAGGAAACTTCTGGTTGACTTTTAAAAGGTCACATTCCTGGGCTAGGTTTAAACTAGAATTAAGTCTTGGTTTGCTGTTGTGTTGGGGGGTGGGGATGATTCCAGTTTGCACTTGTTTTTTGTTTGTTTGTTTGTTTTTTCTCTTTATTAACACTTGTTTCTTTAATCTGGAACAATTCCTTAGTCTTTTCTTGACTTTGACATTTTTGAAGATTGTAGGCCAATTATTTTGTATAAGGCTTCTTAATTTGGTAAACTGTTTCTTTATTTTGTAGCTGTTTTGGTTTTTTGTTTGTTTGTTTTTTTTTAAGTTATCTCTGTGCCCAAGATGGGGCCCGAACTCACAACCCCAAGAATAAGAGTAGCATGCTCTACCAGGTTTCTTAATTTGGAATATCAAAACAGTGTTGTTCTATGAGAAGTGTTCTTACTGCGTTTTGTCAGGTAGTATGCGAGTTTGGTTTGCACCATTACAGTTGGTGTTGGTTATTTTGTTTAAGATGGCGTGTGCCAGATATCTGTCCTGTGAAGTTACTCTTTCCTCCTGGTAATTAGTTAGTACTGTATGTTGTTGTGAGTTACTTTGAGACTGTAAATATCCCCCTGCCAACTAACTTGCTTCCTTCTCCCTCTTCTTCCTTCCTCTTCCTGTCTCCACCTGTCCCTTCCATCCATCTCTGTGTCTGGTCATTCTTTCTAGTTACCTCAGATGGGCTCGTTCATGGAGTTCCCTTTTGTTCAGTGAGTTCTAATTAGTTATTCTCCTTGTTTATTTTGATGGCCCAAATTTGGCCATAAGGAGCTCCTTCAGGTTGATTCTGTATCCTTTTGAGACGTCCCTGTCATTCTTTCCAACTTTCAAGTATAGTACACTGTTCCAGGCTTGTCTCGTATTTTCCCTACTCCAGCCCTGGAATCCACTCTTTCTACAAGGAGCCCTCGTTCCTTTTAGTGGAGAATAGTGCTTAGGAAACAAGATCTAGGCATCAGATGTGGTTATTGCTGTTGAGGCAACAGTGCTTCCAGATACCTTAGCCTAGAGCTAGGGACACCCATACACTCTTCCTTTCTGTTTATATCTATTTCTATATTTATATTTGTTTCTATTTTTCCTTATGTATATATTAAAACACAGAAGTTAATCAGATATCTCTAATTCCACCTGTAATACCAGGGAATTCAGCCCAATTTTCTCCCTTTCTGTACTTCCGGGTTTCTTTCTTCGACAAATAAGAGGCTAGGTTCTCATTATCCTTGTTACGTTTAATTGTTCGATTAATTTCCTTGTGTGTGATGAATCACCAGTCATCCTCACTGCTGTTTTGGGCATCTGTCCCCTTCCGGCCTTACTTAGCCTGTGCTCAGATATCTTCGCTGCTTGGCCCTATCTAGTGATGACTGTGGACTGAATTGTTGAGGAAGGGGAAGGGCAGGGGTGGCTTTGGCAGTTCAGGAATATGATTCCCTTAGTCTGGTGTGGTGTCTTTTCTGTCTTCTGGTCACTTCTCTTTTCTTTGACTTCATTCCTGGAGAATAAATCTGCCAGCCACTTTTTAGAAAGAAAACAGCATCAAAAACAAACCACACTACCCTGTTTTATCTCTTCACAAAAGAACTATTTGTTCACCTTAGGAAAAGGGTTATGTTGGGGGTGGAGGGTGGAAAGTCCCCCACCGTCTCCGCACCCTGCAGTAGCTGCGGTAAGCAACTGGGTGTCTGCCCTTCTGGATCATTCATCACC